ACTGGGAAATAGTTCGCGCAAAATCGTCCCAGTACTTTAGTACTGTACATTTAGTTCTGGAACTAAAGCGGTGCGAAAGGCCCTATAATACACATGCAAAACCTTTATCTTCTAGTAAAATGCCTAACAAAATTAATGAATCATCTTGCAGTTGAGGCATTTTTATCCAATCAAATGTGTTTTAGAATGAGAACGCCCACTTATAATAATAATAATAATAATAATAATAAATAGCAAATCAGGCTGTTTTTTACATTTACATTTAGTTATTTAGCAGACGCTTCTATCCAAATCGACTTACAAATGAGGACAATGGAAGCAATCAAAAGCAACACAAGAGCAACGATACGCAAGTGCTATAACAAGACTCCGTTAGTACACGTAGCAAGGTTTTTTTTTTAATTATATAATAAATAAAAAGAAAACAGATAGAATAGAGCAAGCTAGTGGCCTTTTTGCTTTTGTTAATTGTATAATAAATAAAAAGATAGAATACAAAAAGAAGCTAGTGTTAGTTTTTTTTTTTTTTAAAGCAAAAGGCTCTTTAATACATCCCTCTTAAACTTGGTATAAAAATACTCAAGCGATTTCATGTGGTGTCTGAAAATATGTGGGTGCGACAGCAGTATTTTTGAGCATCTGTCTGTAATTTGAGGTCTCTGGTTGGTTTGAGGAACAGATGTGCACGGTAGAGGTTATTTCTGTTTGTTCCTTCAGTACTTCCTGGTTCGGTGTAGTGTTGTGATTTGATAGCAGTTGGCATTGTACTTAATTATAGGCGATAACCAATACTATAAAACACTTTTCCATGTTCACGCTGAAAGTCATCATCATGTCTGCCACTGCGTCAATGTGAACATTACAAAACACCCAGGTTCCACTGCACACATCACGTCTTTCACGTTTCAACAGCAGGTTGGCAAATTTTAATCTCGATTGCACAACATAGTCAAAAAAAGGTTAAAAAAAACACACAATGTATAAACTAAACAGGTTTCCTGTGTTGCTTCAGATCATTGAAACTGACATTATTGTGAGATGCACTTTTAGGCAATGAAATGTCCAGTTTTTTGGCACATCATCACTTCTGATGAAATGAGAAAGTTGCTTAAACAAGTTGTAAATGACAATGTGTTTTTGAGTGAGCTCACTTCTGATGGTTGGTTATTTTGAAAGGCAATATTTATTGATATCTGTTAGGCTGTTCTTTGTAGTTACTGTAATTGCTGCGGTTTTACTGTAGGTTCACTGTTTGTTTGCAGAACTTTTTTTTTTTTAGCAGAGAGAGTGAGAAATAAAGTATCTTTTCACCCTGGAGTGTTTACGTTCATATGCAATTTAACAGTAGATCTACTTTACATATGTTTACAAAGATCTACAACTTTCATAAACAAATGAGTGTTGTCAAAACATTTTCTGTTTTGATTGTGGGAAGATTAAGCTGCCCAGTTTCTCTAATGTGAATAGAAATGTTAGCACAATGTTCTTGTTAATGTTCTATAAATGTTGAATTCTAACGTTCCAAAAGTTCAAACGTTTCATCTTTAGGCTTTACCATTTGCATTATTTGAACATTATAACTATTTTGGGAACTATTAAATGTTTTTGCATATTGTTGGTGCTCCGAACATTGAGATCAATGTGACGTTCAAACAAATTTGCACAACATTGGGAAAATGTTTTAGTGGTTGATCAATATATTCCCATTGCTGATATTATCAGCTGATATTTGACATAGAATTGTTCTGTTTAGCTGATAAGTGTTGTGAGAGACTTTTATTTTGACAACATTCAGTAGATACACATTTTAAACAAGTAATTGAATATCTAATAAACATGTCATGTCACAAACTTCTACACAAGTATACATCTGTTTATCAGATGTATTATTTTTTTCATGAAGTTTTGATTTTTGTATTTATTTCTAATTCTAATTCTCACACACACACACACAATCTTTAAATGATTAAATAGAAGTATAATTGATACTATTATATGTATATATAAATATTAAATTATAAACATAGTATTTAGAAATTAAGCATTGTTAATATGTGATTATATCATCACAAATATTGATTTATAATTGATTTGTGTGTGTGTGTGCGTGTATAGAAATTCCTAAATAAACATTTTATAAATGTTTATTTTACAGATTTTTTTTAATTTTTTTATCAAATTTATTTATTTATACTTATTTTAGTAAATACTATGTAAAATAAATATAAATGTAATTGCAGAGCCTGATGTTATATAGGTCGTCAGCCACCATGGTCTCTTAAATATTGCATTGGACATAAAAAAAAATCTGCATTCGTTGCCCACTAAAATGTTTATACTTATACTAAAACATAAGGATGTTCCATTAACATTTACATTTGAGCATTTCTTAAAGGTGAAGCATGTACTTTCTGCATCACTAGTCCCTGCAGATGTAACAAAAACTGGTTTTTAAACTGGTTTCCCGAACGCTTCATCCATCAGCCATCGGTCAGACAAACAGATAGTCCCACTTCAAACTCTCACTGTCAGTTAAGTCAAGATGTTGACATGTCTGAGAGTGTTTCCAAGCCTTTACAAAACTCTTTCAGGAAGACCGGATGTCTGGGGGAGTTCAGAGAGACATCTGAGAAGTTTAGGAAGTGACCTTGACTCTCTAAAGCATTGCATAAGCCAGACCGCTTCACCCACTGGTGTGACTCAGGGAAATCTTGCTGTTATATTACCTGATCAGGACGTGATACACTTTGACCCCCATTTGCGCATGGAGTTGGCTTTGCTCCATGTGACTTCTCTTTCTGCTTTTGTGCTTCCGTATAACACATTTCAACATCCTGTTCCTACGATGTGTGATGTGCTTTAAAGTGTAAGACTGTTATCTTGAAGAAAACCTTCTGTTGTCACACGGTACAGTATGTTTGCATAGAGAAGTGAGCAAACTTTGTTCTTGCCCTCTGAAGTGGAATAACTGGTTTTAGGAGATTCAACAGTCTAGATTCCCTGCTTCCTTTTGCTCTCTTGCTTGTTGGTTCAAAGCCAAAGTTGTCAATATAGTCCCAGAGGAGAGTCTTATTGCTCAGAGGCTGCTCTTTCATAGCTCAGTAGCTGATCATTAATAAATAAAATATAATTGATAAAATTGGTCTAAATGGCCAATAAAATAAACAAACACAACTGAGTCAATAGTTGACAACTGCTATAAATCTAGTTATTATAGTAGACTGAGCACAGTTTAAAAGATTGTTCCTCAATTCCTCTCTAACAACAGTTCATATTTTCCTCCTGGCATATTATATCTAGGGGTGGCACGATACCATTTTTTCAGAACCGATCCCGATCCGATACCAAAAGTTCTGAGTATCGGACAATACCGATACCTATCCGATACCAGCACAGTTTTTTTTTTTTTTTCCCTCAGTGTGTGTCGACCGGATCATCACTCTTTTGTGTATTACACACAATCTACTAAATATAGACAACTTCATTATAAAGAAAAATAACAAATTTAAAAAATATATTATCATCTATGAGAAAAATACTATTCTAAACTAGGTTAGTGGATAATTCAGCAGCAAAAGTTACTCTACAAAAATGATGAGTTCATAATAATTTTATAAAATCTAAACTGAGAGAGAGAGTGAGAGAGAGAGAGAGTGTGTGTGTGTGTGTGTGTGTGTGTGTGTGTGTGTGTGTGTGAGTGTGAAATGAAATAATGAATGAAGTTTATTTATCCATTTTAATCATGTGCTATTGCCAAGCAGTTTGATAAGAAAACTAATTATAGTGAACAAATTGATGATGTGACCAAAACATATCGCTGTTCTCTCAACCAGCTTTGTGGTGCATTCTGGGATGCTTTTTAAAAGCAAAGCTTCCTATTTCTATGTTTAGATTCTGCCTAACATGATTGCATCTGGTTGTCTATAAACAGGTGAATCCACTTCTCGAGGCCTTTGGAAACGCTCAGACGGTCATGAATGACAACAGCAGTCGCTTCGGGAAATACATCCAGCTCCGCTTCCAGAACTCTTCAGGTTTGTTTACGACAGACAGAAAAGATAACGCTCTTCCCACTGACCGTAATGGATCATATAATATCCATTGGGCGTGTTTCTAGACCAATAAATCAATTCAATATTCTTTGATTGAACATTAACCTCAGTTTCTGTGTTTTTGTAGTCAAAGGGGCAAAAATCAACGAGTATCTCCTGGAGAAATCCCGTGTGGTTCATCAGGATGAGGGAGAGCAGAACTTCCACATCTTCTACTTCATGTTGGCTGGCATCTCGATGGAGGATAAAGAGATATACGGCCTCCTGGACCCCACGCGCTACCGGTGAGTCACTTGTGATGTGTGCTTTTGAAACCGGATCAGCAACATTGTTTACGATGCGCGTCATAGATTAGCATCTTACCCATGCAGTTTATTAGAGGTGTGTCACACGACAACTCCTACAGAACTATTTGTGGTACGGACGTCATGTTTCTTAGTACGGCTAAGGATTCATTGTGTAAAAGGTCGATACAAAACATTGTCAGGTGATGCAAAGATCTGATGGGTTGAGACGCATTCGAAAACACTCAAGGTTGTGCGTTACAGTGATTTGAACAAGTTCACAAGAGCACGCAAGGCTCGAGTTACATATTCTGTTCAATAAAAATATTTTTAAAAAATGTTCCAATATTAGGCTAATATACAATTGAAGTTATTTAATTCAGTGTTAAAGGGGTCATATGATGTTGCTAAAAAGAACATTATTTTGTATATAAGAGAAAGGAACAATTGAAATCGCATCATATGACCCCTTTAACCCTCCTGTTTTTTTATTATTATTATTATTTTTTACATACAACATTTTACATACAAAAACATACTGCACTTGTATTGGAAACTGTCATTTTAATTTCATACTATTATATTTTTTTTATAATATTTTGAATCTTTTCTTTATATTTTCTATTTTCATCTTAATTTTAGCAAAAGCTTTAGTAACTGTGTTTTGTTTTTCATCTTAGTAGTTTTTGTTGTTTTTGTTTATATATATATATATATATGTGTGTGTGTAGTCTATATCATTTTAATTTGTTTATATATAGTCTATATAATTGTAATTTATTAAATTTTAGTTTTAATTATTTTAGTACATCAAGTGAAACTAAATTAAAATAGGCAATATAAATATTGCCTTAGCAACTAGCTGAAATAAAAAATATATATGTTTTATTTCAGTTGACTGAAAAATATAAAATATTTTTTTTGGATCTCAGTTACTCCACTATTGTACTGAAAATAAGTGTGAGTCTTTCATTTCAAATAAACGTCCAGTTTTAAATTGTATATGTTTTCATGTATTTGATATTTTAGTCTTTGACAAGCTTCAATAGTTTTTCTGTTTTTTACCTGCTTTTTTGTTGATTTTCAGTGAATTGCATGATAACCTGTTTAACCCATAACACAACTGTAGTCACCAAATATTGTCTTTTCAAAGCACATCTGTTTGTGTATCAAAACTTTGCATATAAATCATATTCCTTAAAACCTAGCAGTAAGCTTACATCTTTTTGCTCTTGTCAGTTATTTGAATGGCAGGTTTGGGCAGGAAGACGTGGTTCAGGCCTGGCGTGTGAAATATGCTGAAGTGTGTAACGCCATGGACATGGTGGGATTTGAGGAGCAGGTAAGAACAAAGCCTTGCTTGTCAGGGCTCTTAACTTACTTTTCTTTTTAGGAGCACTTAAGTTAAAACAAATTTAGGAGCACAGTCAAAAATTTAGGAGCACCTTCTAATCAATAATACAAAATTGATAAAAAATTAGCCTTAAAAAAATTAGCCTAAAAATTCAGTCGCAAATGCGACTGAAATGGTTGCACTGTAGAGCCCTGCTTGTCTGTGTCCTGTGGTTTGAAATGCTTTTCTATTATATTTATATTTACTCATTAAATAAGATGCTACATTATATATTAGTGCTTCAAAAATCTTTTTTTTTTTTTCACCACAGTACCATAAAATTAGAGGTGTTTAAAAATGGTGCAAAACCTAACAGCATTTGCAATGTATTTGTTCAGTTTTTGTTTATAGACCAGGGTTTCCACAGACCATAAAGAGCATTAATTTGCCCCTTCCACAAATTAAGGCCTTAAAAAGGTGTTAAATCAAAGCAGAAAGTGTTAAATTGGCATTAAATGATGCATCCACTTCAAAAAAAAATTATTTTCTTTAGTATTTTTGTTTTGTTTTCCAGTACAAACATCTAAACATCCTTAAATCAAGATACAGTTACTGAAGATGCAAAATGAAGATATGAAGTCTTGTTTTCTGAGAAATTGATCAAAATGAAGTGAGTTTGTGCTTAAAATAAAAACAAATATGGGGAATGAAAACTTATTTTTCCTTTGAATTAAGTTGATTTTTCTGAGCCTGTGGGCAGATATTTGTTCTTGTTTTAATAATAAAATATTCATCATTCATTGATCAATTTCTCAGAAAACATGTCATTTTGCTTCTCAAGTAAATGCATTTTAAAAATCCTTAGACATTTGCACTGGAAAACTAGACAAAATTACTGAGGAGGAACGCCACTTTTTTGCAGCGTGATCTGAAGCTACAATAAAAGTTATTTTTATATTCTTGTGGTTTTGGGCAGAGAGATTTACATATATTTGGAGATCTAAAACGTAATGGAGATCTGAAACTTCGAAGCTTTGATAATGCAAGACGTTGCTATTCAGAGGCCATACAGACATATTGTGTGCCCTTCCTTAAATGTTCTTTACTTCGTCTTAAAGTTACCTGCAGAAACCCTGATAGACCTTCACATCTCGTTTGTAGGAAAAGGTGGACATGATGACCATTCTAGCTGGCATTCTGTCTTTGGGGAACATCACCTTTGAGACGACAGACAGTGATGCTCTGAAGGTGTCCGAGGCGTCACGCGGTTGGTTAAAAGCTACTGCGGTGAGTTTCCTGTTTGTTTCTCACAGATGTTTGTTGTGGCAGCACCACTGTCGCAATTCACAGGTCGACTTGACACGCGGCGGTGCATGCGACAGTTCTCAACCATTGTGAAAAGTATTTTTAACACCAAACATTCAGAAATGCTGTTTTGAGTGTGAAGACAATCAGAAAGAAAAAGTAAAATTTAGCAGAACATGCGGTGCAGATGCTTAGTAGATGCATGATATAGGTGAAGGAATATATATTGTCAGCCTGTGTTTTTCATAAGCATAATGGGTTGTAAGATATGACTTGCGATGCTTGTGGAAAAACTTTGGTTAAGGTAGGGCTGCACGATTAATCACAGAAACTGATTTAACTAAATAAATATATGCACTGTGTGTTTCAGAGAGTGAAACACGTTCACTGTGTTCAGCTCAGTTCATTTCAGTCGATTATAACATGCTTTTGGGAATGCACCACACCAACCGTTTTCCTAAACTTGTAATGACAAGTGCTTATAAACTAAATTATTAAAATGTATTTTATATATATATATATATATATATATATGTTTATTCAACAGTGAATTATTACAATAGTAATATTTGTTTTTGTTGAATATTTTTATTATTAATAATAATAATATGTTATTTATAATAACAACGACAATACTAATAATAAGAAGAAGAAGAAGAACTTTTGGAGCCTGGGACTTCGGGCGGACACCACACCTCCATGTGGTGCCGCCTGGATACGCTCTTTATAGGGTAAACTAATGGAGTGGACATTGAAACAAACCATGATTGTGTGGTCAAAGAGAAACAAATTGAACGACGTAAACGGGACCTGTGATATTGGAGGCACAGGTGTCGTGTCCGGCAGGGTGAGGAGTGTCAGTCATCAGGCGAAATCGACGCAAAGACTCAGTTTATCAGAGTCTAATACTGATACGCAAGTACTGGACAGTCATCGGAACGAGGATTCTCAACCTGACATGTCTAGTGCAACACCAAAGACAGCCACGTCAAGCAAAGCTACGAAAAGTAGACAAATCTGGACTGTCGATCAGTATAGGGATCTGATGTGGTCCTTCTACTATGCCACTGAGGCAGGCATGAAGGCACCTAAGACAAGAGGGACCTACACAATCTGGCGCCAACGGAACCCAGATATGGACCCGAACAAGGTGAATATGCAGAGTAGAAGCATCGAAGCAAAGAAATGGCACAGATCAAAGCTAATGTCATCAGGCGCATCCAACAGCAAATGCAAAAGCCAGAGAAAGCTAGTACCGTGGATAAAGAGACAAGCAAGAGTTCCATGGAGAAAGAACTTGCTGGAGATCAACCACAGCAACAGCAGAAGCCTGCTGAGAGCATCCCTGAGGATCAGCATCAAGTGGATGAGACGACTGGAGTTGACCCTTCAGTTGTTGCTCCCAAATCAGGTGATGCAAGAGTCCAAGAGATGGAAACCAGGATCTAAGTGAAGCTGCTTGAGTTAGAGAGTGTCGCCATCAAGGACAGGAGGAGACTCAAGCATGTGCGACGGTGCATGGAGCTGGATCAGAACATCGAGATGGCGAACCAGGCCCTGGTTAACATCGCAAGGGAATATCCTTTAAACATCTCAGAGCTCAACACACTTGAGTATGCAGCAGTTGCAGTCAATGCAGGCAAGATGAGGAACACTCCAAAGAAGGCAAGAAAAGAACCACTGTGGAAGAGAAGGCTTCAGCAGAAGGTTGACCAACATCGCAGGATCCTTTCCATCCTCCGTCAGCTCAAGCTCGGAGTCGCCAGCAGGCATGTCCATAAATAGATCAATCGCATACTCGGATTGGCACAAATGGACTACAGTAAACTCGAGGAGTTCACCCAGGACATCAAGATGAAGCTACAAGCGAGGGCTCAGCGGTTGCGAAGGTACAAAGAACGCCAGCAACAGTTCTACCAGAACAAGCTGTTTAGAGAGGATACCAAGAAATTCTACCAGCTTCTGAACAAACTGCAAGATGCCATCTCTGAACCGCCTTCACAACCAGCTGTCGAGACATTCTGACGCAGCATCCTTAAGGATAATGTTAAACATAACAACGAAGCATTGTGGATCAAGGATGAGGAGAAAGCAAACCAAAGAGTAACACCGCAAGCATGGACTGAGCTTACTTTCACTGACATGCTCAGAATCATCAAACAAGCACAGAACTGGAAATCCCCTGGTCCAGACAAGCTGCAAAACTTCTGGCTCAAGAGTTTTAATGCTCTACATCAACACCTGACGAGCAATGAATGAAGTTTTGTAAGACCCAAGATCCATCCCTGAATGGATGACGACTGGAGTCACATTTCTTCTCTACAAGAGCAAGGATCCTAGAGATCCCAAGAACTACCATCTGATAGCCTGCCTGCCGACAATGTACAAGCTTCTTACAGCAGCCGAGAAGTGTCCGAGAAGGTATACGACCACTTGCTGACAAACAACATCCTCCCAGATGAACAGAAGGGCTGCATGAAGGGAGCCAGAGGATGTAAAGATCAACTCCTCATTAGCAAGATGGTGACTGAAGATGCCAAGAAACGCAAGAAGAACTTGAGCATTGCCTGGATTGACTACAAGAAGGCATTCGATAGTATCCCTCACTCATGGATCTTGGAAACTCTAAAGATCTATCGCGTGAGTCCCACCATCATTCAGTTCATCGAAACATCAGTAAAGGAATGGAAGACAGAGATGCACCTCTTCCACCAGAAAGGCAGCATCAAGACAGGATCAACTGGCATCAAACGGGGAATCTTCCAAGGCGACTCACTGTCTCTCTTGCTGTTCTGCCTTAGCCTCATGCCCCTCTCGAACATGCTGAGCAGGTAAAGTATTGGATATGTAATTGATGACAAGAACATTGTGACCCTTCTGTTGTATATGGATGACCTCAAGATCTTTGGTAGAGACGAGAAGCAGCTCGGGCAGGCAATGCACATTGTCAAGATGTTCAGTGACGACATCCGAATGGAGTTTGGACAAGACAAATGCACACCTGCTGTCTTCAAGAGAGGCGTACGAGTCAAAAGCCATAACATCTAGCTGAGTGTACAAGTACTTGGGCATTGACGAAGGCGATGGTATTCAGCACAATGAGATGAAGAGTAATATTGCTAAGGAGTACTACCGCCGAGTCCGCCTGGTACTTAGGAGCAAGTTCAATGCCAAGAACAAGATCAGTGCTATCAACAGTTTAGCAGTCCCTGTTCCCACATACAGCTTCAGCATGGTAGACTGGAGAGTAGTGGAGATCAGGAAGATGGACAGGAAGATGAGGAAATCGGTAACGATGAATGGTATGCACCATCCTAAAGCAGACGCAAACCAATTATACATCAAGCGACGGTGGCCGTGGGCTTATTGAGCTTGTGAGTCCGTGTACAACATCGCCATCGTCAGCCTTAGCAAATACATTGAGCGAGGTAGCGATAAGCTCATGAAGATGGTGAAGAAGCATGAAGTCAGCAAAATCAAGTATTCCCTGATGAAAACAGCGAATGAGATCCACAAACACTATGGTCTTCCCAGACAAGAGGATCATCCAGAGAGCGCTAAAACCATGGGTGGAAAGCCGAGCAGGAGTTCTCTGGATGAAGGTCATATACTGAGAGAAAATATCAACGAGATTGGATCAAGTCTGTGAAGGAGGAGAAGGCTCTCCAAGGCAAGTTCTTCAAATATCTGAATGAGCCATTTGTAGACAAGGAAGCCGGTCTAGCTTGGAAATTCCAGCCTGAAAGGATAAACGGAGAGCCTGATCATCGCCGCCCAGGATCAAGCACTTAAAGGGTTAGTTCACCCAAAAATGAAAATTAGCCCATGAATTACTCACCCTCAAGGTATCCTAGGTGTATATGACTTTCTTCTTTCAGCCGAATCCAATTGGAGTTATATTAAAAATTGCCTTTGATCTTCCGAGCTGTTTAATGGCAGTCAGCGGGTGTTGCAGTGCATCAGTCCAAAAGAAGTGAAATAAAGCGCATCCATTCATAATAAAAAAGTGCTTCACGTGGCTCCGGGGGGTGAACAAAGGCCTCCTGTAGCGAATCGATGCGTTTTTGTAAGAAAAATATCCATATTCAAAACGTAATAATCACTTTAATCTAGCTTGCGCCAACAGTTGTACATGGAAGCATCTCCAGGCGGATGATGTATGAGGTCGATGTTGTTTTTGGAGGGCTTTGTTCACCCCTCGGAGCCGCGTGAGGCACTTTTTATTATGAATGGATGCGCTTTTTTTTCTTTCACTTCTTTTGGACTGATGCACTGCAACACCCGCTGACTGCAGTTAAACAGCTTGGAAGATCAAAGACAATTTTTTATATAACTCCGATTGGATTCGTCTGAAAGAAGAAAGTCATATACACCTAGGATGCCTTGAGGGTGAGTAATTCAAGGGCTAATTTTTGGGTGAACTAACCCTTTAACACCAGGTACCACCAACGCAAGATCCTCAACCTGCAGGTCGACAGTAGATGTAGAATGTGTGGAGTAACTGAGGAAACAAGTCAGTCATATAATTTCCGGTTGCTCCATACTTGCTGGCACAGACTATAAGGAGCGACATAAGGTCGCAAGCTATATCCATTGGACAATTTGCAAAGAACTTGGTGTTGAAGTACCGACAAGTGGTATGAGGATGTCCCACAACCAGTTGTATACACCGAAAAATGTACCATTATGTGGGACACGGGTGTGTTTACCGACTAGACCATCAGTGCAAACCGCCCGGACATCATTGTCCATAACAAGAAGGACAAGATGTGTTTGCTCATTGACGTCGCGATACCAATAGACCACAATGTAGTAGGGATGTAACGATTAACCGCGAGCCGGTTGAAAATCGATTCAAATATGTGACGATTCAAATCGGTTGAGATGCTAAACAAATCGCGATTCAATTAGGGCTAGTTTATATGAATGCATGTCTGAGGGGAACTTACTGTCTTTAGAAAAGTTTAGATGGTATTTTTTCT